TAACTATCGTCTAAATTATAATTTAATTTTAAAATATTTTATCAAACATAAATAACTATATTTTTATTAAATTTGTTTTCAATTATTAATTATTCAAAATCATTTTTACTATAAGAAAATCCATTTTTATTAAATTAAATTTGAGTAATTAAATATATACTATTAGCGAGTTATTTTAATGGAATGAGCGTGATTTCAATAATTTTTTTAATTCCATAAAAATAAAAATAAAAATTATTTGAGTTTTAAATAATTATATGGAATTCTCTCTACCTCTCTTTCTCTTCAAGCTCAGCCTCCTAATTGGCACATCACCTAATATCTGTTTTGGATATCATTTATAATAGTTCAAACCTACTATTGTCTTTGACTTTTCTTCTCAGGCTCCCCTCAACCACTGATATTGTCTTTTACTTTTCTTCCCAAGCTCCTCTCAAAATTTTTAAAATGCTTTTGTTAGAGAGAAGTTTCTACAACTTTATAAAAAATATTTCGTTATCTCACAAACTAAGATGTCCTTCTCGATAATCTTCTTGTGGGTTAAAACCTGTCTTATATGTTCAATTCATTCAAGTACAACTTGAATATTTACGATATTATATACATGAATACTACATGGTCTCATTTAGTTAACCTAGAGAAATCCAAGAAAGAAAAGAAAAAAAAAAAGAAAGGAAAAACTTGTAAGATAATTTTTGTACGGTAATGGCTTCCAGAATTAGTGAACTGAATTGCATTGGGATTCTCATTCTCTTCCCCTCCTCTTCTCCATCAAGTGAGGGAAGAAGAAGTTTCTTTCTCCAAACCCAAGAAAGAAAAAGTGACGAGAGAAGTTTTGGAATCCTCGTTGCCTTCAAAGTGTTTGTTAAAATGCCCCAATCAGTTTCTTGGCTTACCAGTTCTTACCCTTCATTGAATTCCCCATTCGCTAAAATTTCGGCGCCTCCCCCTTTCACCTGCCCATGTCAGTCTTCGACCCACCTTATCCTTTACGGATCCTCTCTCTCTTTCTCTCTCTTGAAGTGGGCGTTTCTTAAGATTTAATATAATTTATTGCAAGCGCTCTATCTTTGCTAATTTTTTATGCAGGAAAATTGCAAATCGAGATGCAGAAGGTGGATATAAATTTGGGGTCTCCATCATTAACATTTCCTTTTGGGGAGATATTGAATCATGCAGAAGGTGGATATAAATTTGGGGTCTCCATCATTAACATTTCCTTTTGGGGAGATATTGAATCGACAACCAAACAGCCCTCCTTTCCCTTTTAAGAAGCTCTTCCGTCGCCTCTCTTCCCTCTCCGCCTGACCCTTCAATGGAAGTCTCAGCCGATGATCGTTTCGATTTTGGGAAGATGGGCTATGGGTAAAAACCCAATTCTCCATTCCGTTTTTCGTTGCCCCTTTTGTTTCTTTTCGTTCATTTGATGCTCTATGTAAATATTCTTGAACTGGGGTTTTCTTGATTTGAGTTCTGTTTTTAATTTGTGGGTTGTTTTTAGATGCAAGCATTATCGCAGGAGATGTAAGATTCGAGCCCCATGTTGTAATGAAATCTACCCCTGTCGCATGCAAGCATTATCGCAGGAGATGTAAGATTCGAGCCCCATGTTGTAATGAAATCTACCCCTGTCGCCATTGCCATAACGAAGCTACGGTCTGTTCTTGTTATTGATTGTTGTTCTTTACTTTCTGGTTTACTTTTGCTTACGTTTTTCATTCTTTGATGCATTAGAGTGTGATGACCAGACCCTTTGATCGTCATGAACTCAACCGTTTCGATGTTAAACAAGTATGGTTTTCTATATCTTTATCTCATTCCTTTCATTGATTTTTTACTCCTATGCGTGAAGTATGCAATGACAGCCATTTGATATCTTTTCCTAAACCTGAATCAGGTTGTCTGTGCGGTTTGTGACACGGAGCAGCCAGTATGTGAATATTATTTCTATCTTGTTATACCCTTCTGAGTTTTGATCTTGTCTACTTCGTGAAGAAATATGTAGATTCCACTAGTTCTTTTAACCCTCAGAATAAGCCAAGTCGGAAAGTAACGAGCTTGCTCGGAACGACTATCTAATTACTTAAAAATATGTTTTTAAGCAGTTGTAAAGTCAAACATGTCGTAGAGCTGTGGAGGCAATTGTTTGTCTTTTTTCATATTTAACTGACTGTCAGACTTTTTTTTGTTAATATTTACCACGATTTGCAGGTTGCTCGAGTTTGCACGAATTGTGGGGTTAATATGGGGGAGTATTTCTGTGAAATATGCAAATTCTATGATGATGATGTAAATATTATGATTCTTAGTTCTTGTTTTTTTATTCATTAAGCGTGTGTTTACTTGGAGTTTAATAGCAAGAATTGGTGTTGTATGTTTGTACATTTCCTTCATGATTTCCATGCTTCTTTGCAGATTGAGAAGGGGCAGTTCCACTGTGAGGATTGTGGGATTTGTAGGTTAGTTTGAATTCATTGCAAAATTTTCTAATTTTCCATTTTTTGATCATTTAAAGTTGATCAAATCAAGTCTTTTGAGTTTATCAATCTCATGTAAACAGGGTTGGCGGTCAAGAAAACTATTTTCATTGCAAGAAGTGTGGTAAATTTTTCTACTTTTTTAAAGGAATTTGATTAGTATCAGTTGAATTCGTGTTTGTCTCTGCACCCCCGTTTATTGATGATCGTAGTTCTGTTTAATTCTTCGATTTGCTTACTTCTTCCTGAAAATATTAGTTGATTATTATGTCCTTCTGAAAGTATTGATCTTTGGTGTAATGTTCTTTTAAAAACTATGTGGGTTAAGCTCTCTGTTTTTGCAGTTCTGAAAGTATTGATCTGTTAACCTTCTCTGCCAGTTAAATTGTCATTAAATTGAAAGAATCTGGTCATTTGATCTGATTATGCTTCTTGTATTCTTAAAAGGATCATGTTACTCCGTAAATTTGCGTGACAATCATTCGTGTATCGAGAACTCTATGCAGCACCACTGTCCAATATGTTATGAGGTCTTTCTCCAGCCTTTTCCTGTTCTTTCGAACATTCGAAATTGAATTCCCATATTTACATCCTCACACCTCCATGCTGGATGTTTACAGTATCTCTTCGACTCGCTGAAAGACGTTGCTGTTATGAAATGTGGACACACGATGCATCGCGAATGTTACTTCGAGATGATAATACGTGAGAAGTAAGTCCTAAAGCTCATCTTTGTTTCATTAGTTTGAAAGCCATAATACGATGCATAATCGATGTATAATGAGAATTTGTGGCATAACCCAGATACTGTTGTCCGATTTGCTCTAAGTCGGTTATCGACATGTCCAAAGCCTGGAAACAATTAGATGAGGAGGTAACAATAAAAAAGTTCAAGCATGGTTTGTGAGTTTTAACCAATGCATAGACTTTCCTTAATCATATCTTGACTTGTAATGTTTTATCTGCCATGTGTTTAGATTGAAGCAACAGTCATGCCGGAGGAATATCGTGACAAAAAGGTTTTTTTTTTTCCATATATTACCGTCTTTAGCTACTTGTCTTTCGTATCGTTATATTTACCCAAAGATTCTTGGCTGTTTATATTACTGTCTTCAGCCACTTGTTGTCTTTCATATCGTTATATTTACCCAAAGATTGTTGGCTGATTATATTACCGTCTTAGCCACTTGTCGTCTTTCGTATCGTTATATTTACCCGAAGTTGTTGGCTGATTATATTACTGTCTTTAGCCACTTGTCGTCTTTCGTATCGTTATATTTACCCGAAGATTGTTGGCTGATTATATTACTGTCTTTAGCCACTTGTCGTCTTTCGTATCGTTATATTTACCCGAAGTTGTTGGCTGATTACATTACTGTCTTCAGCCACTTGTCATCCTTCGTATCGTTTTATGTATTGTTATATTTACCTGAAGATTGTTGGCTGATTGAATCAGCCAACTTGAATCTTTGATTTCTAGACATTATCTTTTACGTACACCTAATGCTTACTTGTTATGAACACTTAAATATGAATCAATGGTACAAAAGAAACGCCTAATGCTTACTGCTTTCCCGTTATTCGAACCTTTTTTTCTCCATTTCTGAGAACTTTCATGATATCAGAACTAGAAAATTAGAGCTACGTTTTGCAGGTATGGATTTTGTGCAACGACTGCAACGACACGACTGAAGCGTGCTTTCACATAATTGGGAAGAAATGCTGCCACTGCCAATCGTACAACACGCGCGCCATAGCTCCTCCAGTTCTCCCACAGTGATAGAGATCATCATCATCATCATATGTTAAGAGGGTTTGGTTGGTTGGGTTCTGTATCAGTTATATATATATATATATATATATATATATATATATATNGCTTTCCCGTTATTCGAACCTTTTTTTCTCCATTTCTGAGAACTTTCATGATATCAGAACTAGAAAATTAGAGCTACGTTTTGCAGGTATGGATTTTGTGCAACGACTGCAACGACACGACTGAAGCGTGCTTTCACATAATTGGGAAGAAATGCTGCCACTGCCAATCGTACAACACGCGCGCCATAGCTCCTCCAGTTCTCCCACAGTGATAGAGATCATCATCATCATCATCATCATCATCATATGTTAAGAGGGTTTGGTTGGTTGGGTTCTGTATCAGTTATATATATATATATATATATCTCCCATTAATATCACTTCAAACATTGCATTTCTGAGTAATTGGGTTGTGGAATCTTGGAAACTGTTGTTTTTTCAGGTTGTTAATTCTTCTTCCTCCATTGGTGGGGTCTTAAAGAAACCCAGGTATAATGAATTTGTAACCATATAATATACTAACTTTTTAAAGTATATTACGTTATTAACTTTCAATTTTGTATCTAATAGGTCCTTAATCAAATTCTATTAGATATGCATCATGCTGCCCAAGGCTAATTAATGGTTTAGCTAGTTGAATTATATTTAAGGAAGTAAAATGAAAATTGAATTGAGAAAGAGGGCCGAAAGCCCATTTATTTGGGCCTCTTTTGAAGGCCCACAACAACTAATATAACTAACAGCATAAAGACGGTGGCTCCAGCAAGGGAGAGAGCAGAAGCAGCTGCCACTTGCTTGCAAAATCTACCAAATGTATCGCACACTTTGTTCCACCGCACGTGCGAGTTACCGTGGTAGCCGATAATTCCAATGGCTATGGCGGCCCCACCGCTGGAAGAGAGCAGCACCACCATCACGATGTCGAGAATGGTGATCAGTAAAGCTAATACATCGCTTCGATTCTTGTTTGCTAATGAAATAGTCAACGACAGTAGTCCATGTAAGCTTGCAATTACATTGGCCGCAAAAAGGTACCTTCACAACAAAACATATATTTATTCTTAATGTTTACTACTCATCATGCTAACATGAACATAGCTCAAATTATAGAGGAGAAAAAAAAAACATAATTCAACGGTTGGGAGGTTGGTCTCAAGAGCAAGCCAAAAGGAAAAATCTCTTCACATGAGTATGAATTGAAGAGAAGAACAAAACATTTCTTATGAAGGTGTAGAAATCTCTTATGGACGCGTTTTAAAACTTTGAGAGAAAGCCCAAATGTGAGACGTCACATAGTATGAGTTGAAGAAGGGAACAAAACATTTTTTATGAAGGTGTGGAAATCTTTTATGGACGCGTTTTAAAACTTTGAGGGAAAGCCCAAAAGGGAAAATCATGACAATATCTGTTAGTGATGGACTTGAATGGTTACATCTCGAGTGAGTTTAAAAGACTAAAACGTAGAAAGAACAAACAAAAGCAGCGGAAAGTGGTCTCGAGTGAGCTTGAAAGACTAAAACATAGAGAGAAAAAGAAAAAAGAAAGAACGAGAAGCTTACACAAAAGCAGACAAGTAATGCCACTTAGCGACCACAACAACGTCGAAAGTAGGAAGGTTTGGGGAGATAGAAAAAGGAACCACTTTTGCTTCTTTGTCAAGCCTCACAACAATGGCTGCCACCAAAGTTAACACAAACCCCAAAACCCTAAGAACCCCTTCCAACTTCCCACCACCACTCATTGCTTTGTTCAATTGAGAGGAACAAGAAGAAGAGTGTTTGGATGATGGGAAAATGTGGATCAGAAAATGTGGGAAAATTAAATATTTGGTGCCAAAAGTGGTTGATCAGAGCAGTTATGTTCCTTACTTGGTGGGTGACACTCATTTTCATTTTAATTAATTAATGTTCTAGCCATTTCTATTTACGTTGCAAAATTCAAACATAATTTATTAATATGATGTCGTTTTAAAATTAGATTGGACTCGTACATCACTAAAGTCAAATATTATGCCACGAATCTCGTCAAGCTCATAAATAATTCATTATTATTAAATGTTTTAATCTTCGAATTAAACACTAATAAAAATCTTTTAAATAAGTTATTTAAATTAATAATGTATTAATTAAGAATATACAAAGATATGCCTAAAAATTAGTAGCTTAGAAATAATAAAATAATATACGTTTTTATTATCGTATCGTCACGTTAAAACTAATATACGTTTTTTTTATTTTCGTTTTAAATATGTTGTATAATTTTTTTTTCAAGCTCAAATTTTAATAAGAATATTAAATATTTTAATGATTGAACTATTCTCGATCGATAAATAATTTTTTTTTAAATTTTTTTTTAGAGAAAAAGAGATTGAGGTAAATAAAAATATAATGCATAAATAGTCTTCTTGTAACATTTTCAATTCCACAACTGATAACCTAACCTTTAAATTGGGCTGTGAGGAACAGAGCCAAAGCCCATTTAGATGGGCTATGAAGATGCTTTAAATTTAGGATCAAAGCCCAGCCCATTTATTTGGGCCTCTTCTGGAGGCCCACAGAAGCCAACACAACTAGCAACATAAATACTACAGCACCAGCAAGAGAGAGCACAGTAGACGCTGCCATTTGCTTACAAAATCTACCATATACATCGCACACTTTATTCCATTGCACGTGTGAGTTCCCGTGGTACGCAATGACTCCGACTGCTGCCGCAGCTCCGCTGCTGGAGAAGAGTAGCGCCACCATGACCGTGTCGAGAACGATTACCAATAACGCTAAGATGTTGTCCTTGTTCTTGTTTTTTAACAAAAAAGCAAACGATAGGAAGCTATACGAACATGCTATCACGTTCGTCGATAAAAGATACCTAAAAAACACGATATACTTTTAATCCAATACCATCTTCACTTTTATCTATATGTATATGAATATCGAACGTGTCAAGGTACCAAATTCATGATAGCTATACTTAACTCAATAATTAACACCAAAAGTTTTATTATTTTGCTCTTAAAAGTTGATCGTATTTATATTTTTAACAAATATTTGACCATATTCATTATTGTCAATTATTGTTAATTTCTAATTCTACCTAAAAATTAAATTTTTTGAAAACCCGAAATAATATCACCTCCTTTGACTCGTTTAAATCTAGATAGTTCTACTGATCATACTATCATGAGTTTAAATCTCCAGCTAGACGAAAAACATCACTAATTGAGTGATAAAATCGATAACAGATACCGAAAAAAACATTAAAACAAACATGTTTTAAAAGGGTAGACATTCAAATCTTCTTACGGGGCTCGATTTAAACTCGAAAGACGAAAATGAAGGTATAGAAAGAAAAAACGGAGCGGGAGAGAGAAAAGACTTACACGAGAGCAGACAAGTAATGCCAGTTAGCGATGAGAGTATAATCCAAAGGAGGAAGGTTGAGGGAGACAGTAAGAGGAACAACCTTGGACTGTTTGTTGAGCCCGACGACAATGGCTGCCACTAAGCTCAATACAAATCCCAAAACCCTAAAACCCATTTGAGCCATATGGTTAACCATTACGTTCTTGTTCTTGTTCATGTCTTCTTCTTCTTCTTCTCCCTTTTTCACTGATCTTCTCTCCACTTCCATCTTCCCTCTCTCAGACGATTAGGGTTTGGATTCCCAAGAAAGTGGGACACAAAATTTATAATAGGAATGGAAATTAAGAGCTGGGAGGTGGGAAAGTTATGGGGTTGGTGCGGTGCTTTTAATGAATCAACACTCGTCTACTTACTTCTCACTTAATTTTCTTGTGATTGACCAAGATACGTACTAGGTCAAAGCGAATATTTCTATTAGTGGTGGACTTCAACAGTTACAAATGGTATCAAAGCCAGACATCGGGGGGTGTGCCAGCTAGAATGCTGGGCCCCTAAGAAGAGTGAATTGTGAGATCCCACATCGATTGAACAGAGAATCGAAGCATTTCTTATGTGAGTGTGGAAAAACTTCGCGTTTTTAAAACCATGAGGCTGATGGTGGTACGTAATGGGTCAAAGTGGACAATATTTGCTAATGGTGGGCTTGGACAGTTACAATTTCTCTCTGATGCAAACCTACTAACCCTATTACGACGGCCTCCTCGGATAATTTCTCCTCAACTACTGCCTCCGAGTCTTTCATGAAATCAATATACTAATCGAATTTATTATTATTATATATATACATATAATTTTTTTGAATCTAATTTCATAATTCGTTCTCAATTGTCAAATTTTAGTTAATATATTTTTAATAAAAATAATTTTAATGCGACAAAAGTTACCATGTAAGTATATTTGTAAAATTATGAACTAATAAAAGAATTTAACAAAAAGATTAATAGTATGAGTAAACTTAAAAAAATTAATCCAAATTAATTTAAAAGAAAAGAAAAGGGAGAATAAGATAAAGAGTTGCTTAACCTCGTGGCCAAACAGGCCTTTAGCATTAATGTTGGGTTGGAGTACATTTTTATTTTACTTGGCTGCATATATAAAAATGCATTAAATTGGCGACCAACTAATAATTTAATGAAAAACTATGTAAATTTTATTTTTATTTTTTATTTTTTTAGATAAATGAATAATTACTAAATTTGGAGAAAAAAAATCTATAAATAATTATTGGACTAAAATATCCCTTATATTTTTATTACTATTTAAATATAATCTTATTAAAAAGCTATATGAATATCAATTATTGTGTTCGATGCTAGATGAACACGACTTTCCACGATGATATGATATTGTTTACTTTGAGTATAAGCTCGCACCCCAAAAAGTCTCGCACCAATAGAAATAGTATTCCTTGATTATAAACCTATGATCATTCCCTAAATTAGTCGAACAAAGTATGCATCCTCTTAATCGAGGCTCGACTTTTTTTTTTTTTGAGTTTTAGTCATGTTTTAGTATGCCTACTCCTTTCTTTTGGAGTTCTTTGTTCTACATTTGAAGATTCTATTGACATGACTAAGTTAGAGCATGACTCTCATACCATGTTGCTTTCGGCTATTTCTTCGGTATAAATATTGATTAATTTTGAATAGGCACAAATTTAGAGATTTAATAATTTAACTTGAAAAAAATAATTATTTAAAAAATAAATTACTTGTGAAAAATAATGCGTGCAAGAACTTCCACGTGTGCTCATCGTCAAAGCCCTTCTCCACGAGTCCTCAACTTCAGCATACTCCGTTGGGAAGCAAGCTCGGTTAGGGATTCAGTACAATCGGTGGTTTTCCTTCTTCATTTCTTTCTTCCCATGAAATCGATCGTTGCTGATCGTTCGAGGATTCTCCAGGTTAAATCTCGATTGATAATTTTGAGCGGAGAAAGAAGAAAATTGAGAGCAATCGAAAATGGGGTTGCTCCATCTTCCACTTGATGTTGCCCTGAAAATTGCTTCTTCTCTTCAGGTTCAAGCGGATTTTTGTGTCATTCTGATCTTCTTATTTTACTTGAAGGTTCTTTGGGATTAATCGATTTTTCTCTGTGGATTTTGGGCTGTGATGAAGGCATCGGACATTTGTGCTTTGGGCTGTTGCTCGCGGTTATGTCGGGAACTTTTCGATTCCGATTGTTTGTGGGAGTCTCTTGCAAGAGAAAGATGGCCTTATATCTATGCTTCTTCATCTACTGGTTCTTCTTCGTCAACTCCCGCAAAATTCCCCATATCCATGGTGCTCTTTTTATATCTTAATCTCCTTTTTTTTCGGCCTCGGTTAATTATTTACCATATTGGATTATCCATTTACATGGTTACTATATTTAGGATTCTTGAAATCAATTGAGAGAATTAAAAGGATGTTTTTTTGTTCTTTCTGCTTCGTAATTCAAATGTAGCTGTCTCTATCTGAAATGGTCGATTATTTAGTGAAACATACGGCGGATATATCTTAGTTATTTCACCATCACTTGAAGTCATCTTCATGTTATTTCATTGGCCTTGTGATCATCATATGATGTGTTAAGTATCTCATTTGTGATGTGAATTTACGTGTATTTCTTAGTTTCTTGGAAGCAATGAAGAGATTTGAAAACTTTTTTGTTCAATAGTTGAATGAGCCCTTTCGAATTTTCTTCATCCCTGTATGTAATGATTTGAACATACTTTGGATATTTATCTTGAGTGGACTTAAGTTGGATGTTGATCTTGAGTCTGTTGTTGAATTTATTGTTATAATTATGTTTGTGAACGAACAAAATGAAACGTCTTCCAGGGATGGAAAAGCTTTTACATCCTGAGGCATATTGAGATATTGGGAAGAGCCCAAGCAGCAGTCAAGTTTATAGAACAATGCCCTCCTTTGACACCGATTGAGGGTGGAGACTATCTCAGGACAATACTCGGCTTGCAGGATTTGAAGCTTAGTTTTATAGATGTTCAAATGGTGCTTTTCAAACCTCAACTTAACGGGCTGCTGAACTTGGTTGGCTTACACTACTGCACAAATTTGCTTGAAATCCCTGTACGCCTGCTGCTTTTTACTATTTTTGTTCAATCATTTGTAGGTTTATAATATATTTTGGTTGTGAACTTTTATACTTGTTCCATTTTGACCCCCTTAAATCTTCAAAGGCTCTATTTTAGTCCTGAACTTTGCACAAAAATTCATTTTTAGTCTCAGCTATTGTTTCTTCTGTAGCCATTTGTTCAGAACTCCAAATATATTTTGGAAATTTGACACTGTCCTAATATACATAGTTTCAAACTGTTGTTTACATGGACATTTTCTTGTCAAATAAGTAAATTAAAGACTTCGATGTTGGGTTTTTGTTAAATACTTTGTAAAGCTTTAATCACTGATTCTTTATGCGAAGTTTAAGGACTAAAGCAAGATAGGACAAGATTAAAAG